ATCCCTAACGTTCTGTGATTCTGTGAAAAATTACTGCTATAAAATGAATGAAAACCATTGCGGGCTGCTAACATTTAGACCATTTTTAAGCAGCTAATTTGGGGAGATAAATAAGGAGCATTGTTGTAAAGTGGAAGTGGTCACTTATATGAATAAAGAGTTGCTGAATTACCAGTCATTTTCTGACATACTCTGTATCTGGTCTGCACTTAAATTTAATTATTTAATTATAACAAATAATTTAATTTTAATTAATTACAAATTAAAAATTAAAAATTATTAAATTAGATTTTAATTACTTTGAAGCTATTTTCCAAATAGATTGTAAGGTTTAGCTGTCCTAGTTCATAGGGCATAAGATTTGCAAATGTCTGTTTAAAACATGTTTCATTGATTTGTGGTTTATCTTTTCAAAAATACTTTTAATCACTTCACACTAAGCAATCAGTGTTTTCATGCACAGCATACAAAGGCTGTGTACACTTCCTTGAACGTGTGTTATAGTATTTTCATGTTGTAATTCTCGAGTTTCTCAGTTTATGACTTGTTTGTTTGTTTGTTTTGCATTAATGTTTAAAGTTGGCAAAATCGCTTTTTTGTTCCAGTGCTTGTCTGGTGAGGAAATTTTTTCTTTGCATGGGATACCAAACAACAGTCACATATCAAATTCAAACTTCTCCACAATATGCCCTGCTGTTTTGCAACAGCTAATTTTTCACCCGTGTGATCATCAGGAAGACTTCGCAGAGACATCTAAACCACATTCTTTACAAGGTTAGTTAATATTAATTGCATCAATATTGTGACTGGAGTGGGGCTTTGTTAGAATAGTAAGCATTTTTCTATACATAACAGAAGTGTCTTGTTTAGAAGGATAAAAGTAAAGTGGGAACATAAAATTAAAATGCTGTTTCAGGTCAGTGGACTGTCTAAACAGATACCCTATCACTTAACAGTGATCTAGTCAGGATGTTTTAGAGAAAGGTGAAAGAACCGAGTAGGTATTTATGGAATAATTTGCCAGTTAAAGGCAGAGTCTTTCTGACCTGTTGTATTTGGATAACGGTTTGTGCCCTGAAGCATAAGGACTCTCTCTAATAGCCGGTTAATAGGAGGGAAAATGGGAGCACAGAAAGGAAGTTTGTGCAGGTGATTTGCAGTGGGAAATCAGACTTGGTGGTATGTGTATGAAGGCCATTCAAGGTAAAATTATTAGAGGACTGTTCAAGTGGAATTATTTTTGGGGAGGAGTCATGACATCAGGGGAGCCACTGACTGTTTTACTGAGGAAAAAATATTCTTTCCAAACTCTGACTCCTGCTTTTCTGTCATCTTCTGCACTCTCCACATGGAACATCATCATATGACTGAGTAGCCTTCATCTTCCTTTTTCCTATTTTTATCACTATTATTTCTGTATTTATTATGCACAGAAGTGTACAGTGCAGTAAAAAATGTAGGACAGAGAAGATTCATCTGGTTAATGAAGTCACTTGTTGCACTGCTAAGCATCAAATATGTAATGGCCTATTTATTTGACTCAGTATTCCAACTAAATTTACTGTTCCAAGGGAATTTGCCGAATTAAAGTTAAAAGTTAGAGTGTTAATTGAGCAGGTGCCTAATGGCAGTATTTATAAGCAGTGATGTAGCACTACTTTTGAAATACTATTACTAATAACATTCTGATTAACATAAGTGATGATATTTATTAAGAATTAGAGATAATTCCTAAAACTTAGCTGTGTCAGTCAGTAATTATGATTATATTTGATTAATCACTGAAACCATGGCATCAATTTCCTATGGTTGTTTTAGATTGCTTGTACCATATGAGGGCACATATTGTCAACTAGTCCATAATACCTGCATCAGGGGGGAGAATCTGTCTTTCTCTAATTTTTTTTTTTCCTTTGGGGCTGTTTAGGTACTGTTGTACTGGAAAGCCTGACCTGTAGTTAACCTCCTAAGCTATTTAGACCGTGCCTCTTGTTTTTCTTTTATCCTGCCAGCTCAGAAGCAATGTCCAGTAGCCAGATAAGCAAGACAGCCTTCTCCCTGCCCCTCCCTTGGCTGCAATGCAGGAAATCTGCAAGGGCCATGTTTAGCGTATTTTAAAACCACAAGTGTATAAAGCTGTGACATGTAATGGTACCTATTTTGAAGGAAGATTCAGAGAAAGGCAGTGCCAAATGCAGATATTGACTTAAGCATACCCCTACCCCATCACAAAATGATTCTGTTATGGTGGCAGCATTGAGACCAGCTGATTTCAGTTACTACCCATTAAGCTAAATCCTCCATGCATGTTTCCAGCTGTGCTTATGTGAATTTTCTGCCCAGGGAGTCCCATGCACTTAACAATATTTTGTCTTCCAGAATATGAACAGACAAGGCATACAGAAGAAATTAGTACAATAAGCTTTATGGAGCAGATACTTGCAATAAAAAAGTGCTGCCAAAGCAGAGGAAAAGTTAAAAGGCAGCATACACCATATCCTTTCTTCTTGGGGTTTGTCTCCTGGGGGTGTTGGTGGACAGCAGGATGCCCATGAGCCAGCAATGTGCCCTTGTGGCCAAGAAGGCCAATGGCATCCTGGGGTGTATCAGGAGGGGGGTGGTTAGTAGGTCGAGAGAGGTTCTCCTTCCCCTCTGCTCTGCCCTGGTGAGACCGCATCTGGAATATTGTGTTCAATTCTGGGCCCCTCCGTTCAAGAAGGACAGGGAACTGCTGGAGAGAGTCCAGCACAGAGCCACAAAGATGATAGAGGGAGTGGAGCATCTCCCTTATGAGGAGCAGCTGAGGGAGCTGGGTCTCTTTAGCTTGGAGAAGAGGAGACTGAGGGGTGACCTCATTCATGTTTATAAATTTGTAAAGAGCAAGTGTCAGGAGGAAGGAGCCAGGCTCTTCTCAGTGACAGCCAATGACAGGACAAGGGGCAACGGGTGCAAGCTGAAGCATAGGAGGTTCAATCTGAACATGAGGAAAAACTTTTTTACTGTAAGGGTTACAGAGCACTGGACCAGGCTGCCCAGAGAGGTTGTGGAGTCTCCTTCTCTGGAGACATTCAAAACTCACCTGGATGCATTCCTGTGCGACCTGGTCTAGGTGATCCTGCTCTGGCAGGGGGGTTGGACTGAATGATCTTTCGAGGTCCCTTCCAACTTTTAATATTCTGTGATTCTGTGATTCTGTATAACTCATATCTAACCTTGTTGGCCTTAGGGGCACAATCATGTATTTCCCTTTCTTGTTTCTCCAAAAGGAAATAGAAGGGTGTATAACGCTGCATGAAATAGCTGGAAATGGCTAGTGGCATTCCTTCTGTACATGGTGGACAGGTTCTGTGCTCTCTGCTTGGCTTCTTCAGAAAGGTGTCCATACCCTTATTTCCTCTTCATCCCAGGATGGAGCTAAAGAAGAGCCTGAGCCTGCCTCAGAAAGGCCCGTCCCTGCTTCTTATAAGGACCAATGCTGACCAATAGTGTTATAAGGAGGGCATCTTGCTTGCACTCCTGCTGTTTTATTTTCTGGGGGTTTTTTTATGGCTTTGGGTATCTTGGCTGTCTCTTTGTTGGGGTCACAGTTCTGGAGACAGAAAGAATAGTGGTAGTTGGCAAAAGCTGACCATGCCACCAGAGAAAAGAAAAGAGCGTGCATTCTAAGCAGAATGCTCTGCTCTGATATGTAAAGTCAGCTTTCTGAGATGCATGCACTTATGAAAAGCTATCAAGTCCTAGTGAATAAAACCAATTTTAAGACAACAGCACATACATGATATTGGGAAGTACCATCTATAGTACAGGAACTTTGGCAATGTTGGAATTTTATGACTTTCCACCTCTCTTCCAATTTGTGGTATTTTTCTTGAAGTACCAGTTCCTGTAATTGTGTAATTTTGAGGTAATATTTTTTTTTCTTTTCCTTTTTTTTTTTTCCCAGTAACACTTCAGGTCTTTCTGAAGTCAAAGAAAAGCTTGCCACAAGACCCAGGAGGACCTTCCTGGAGAGTATATAAGAAAGTTCTTAAATTTAATTTATTGCTTTAAAAATTTCATTAGTTTAAACTAGTTCCCATACTATTGAGGCTCATTGCAGGATCTGTGGAATGCCTAGAATGGATAATACTTAATTTGTTCTTTCATTGTCTGAAGTTATTTAATAATTTATTTTAATTCTTCTGTATTTTTCCACTTTTATTGAGTAAATCAGATACAAAATGTCAGTATGTAAAATCTTAAGTTCTTTGGGCCATTCAGATCTAGGACAGAATTTTAAAAGTAAAACCACATCTATCTTCTGGCACCCCTGATCTCTGGTAAATCAGGAAGAAGAAAGGCTTTTGCTTTTACTTTTTTTTTTATTTATTTTGACAAAAGGGGATACTTCACACCAGTGGATTAGAATATGTCCCTCCTGGGGAGCACAGGTCCTTCAGTTCGTTATGAGACATGTCCTGTTGCATTAAGCATACAAAATGCATTTCAAGTTAAGTGTCCCAGAATGTTTTGCTGTTCTGAACAAAGAGTACTAGCATGAAATTTAGACATTTGTTAGTGAAGCATATAGTATCATGAGAACGTCTCTCACAATTTGGCAATAATCTTTTTCCCTGTCTCTGGTGTTAGGTTCCATTCTCCTATTGATTTTGTAATTTACTGATTTACACACACAGTTTGTGAATTTATCCTTTCTGTCTTTTGTTGCAAAGAGTAATTAGTACTGGCCTTTTGTAACTGTAATTTTTGAAACTTGTTCTAATTTCCTGTGCCTGATGAAGTAATTTGGGCAAGTACACTAAATGCTTCATATCTGATATATGGGGTTTTTATTTTGTTAACTCAGTTTAAACTGTACGTGTTGTACAGAATAATGTGTAGGAGTAGTCTGTATACTAAACTGAAAGAGACTCATGCCTCCATAGTAATCCCAAACTGTAAACAGTGGTTTGTGACTCATGATGACATTGGAAACCCATTTGTTTATTACAAACTTGATTTCAAGCTTAATTGTAATTTATTTTAATGAAAATTAATCTCCTGTGCAGTTTAGTGAATCTACCCAGATCTAGTTGTGTGTTTTCCCTCTCTCTGTCTCTCAAAAATGGCAAATGAATGTTCTAATCGGCATTGATTTACCTTCTGCAAATGCTTTAAATGTTTCTAACACTTTCTGTTCTTGACATAATATAAAATTTGTTACATATAAAAATTGTAACACTATGCAAACAAAGTAGAGCCATCCAAGTTACAGGTGAGGAATCTAGCTTAGTGTGTTTGCTGATGGTGTTGTGGGAAACTTGGGCTGCAGATCATAATCTGATGTGTTAGTTTTTGCCATGCAGAAAGGAATTTATGGTAACTTCTCTACATACATATTGTAAGGCTTATAATGATGCAACTTTCTGGTTTATACCAAACTATTCTCACATTGCCAACAGTGTGTTGGCTTTGATTGTTTTCTATGGTTAATTTTTATAGATAAACGCACTGTCTATGTGGATAACTTTATGGTTCTGTGGCATCACTTGAGGCAGCGTTGTAGGCCTCTTCAGTGCAACCTTTAAAGCTTTTCTCTGTACTCTCATGAACTTGAGACATCACTGGGAAAAAGAGTAGTCATGCATAGCAACACAACTTTGTGATGTGTGATGCTTATGAACAGCAACAACAGCCACGTCCCTCCCTGCCCCACTCTCCCCCAACCTCTAATTCAGACTCCAGAATAATTATGGTGTGTATGGCTTTGTACAAGTCCTGTTGTCTGAACCCTAAAGACTCTGCTTATGCTGAAGGAAGCTAAGTTACGGTGGACCCTGGTGCATTTGTCACTCCTTAGGAAAGGTTTCCACATTGTGTACCTAAATCACATGTCAATTTTTTTAAACCTGGAACCTCTTTTTTATATGTTTTCATTTCTCTAGTATAATTTCTCTACTATCAGCTCTCTGCCACCTCACCTGTTTGATAAGCAGTGATGGGCAGTGTTTTCAGCCAGCAACTACCTTGAAATAGAAGAGGAGGAGTGTTAGGGACGCAAAGTTACCACTTCAGGATGATTTGAAGATGTCATCCTTTATCAGGAAGGATTTGGGGATCTAGTACAGTCAAGACAGCAGACTTTCTATCTTAGAGTCCCTTAGGAGTAAATGACAATTGGGTCTAACCCTGGGACTTGTAAGAAGTTTTGTCTTATATCTATGCTGTAGCTGCTTTGAGTGTTGGACTAAGCTTTAATTTTTGCTCTTCACTGACTGTAGACACCTGTTATATACTACCAGCAGATAGGCTATCCCAGATCTTACACTAGCACAGTTTCCATGTTTAATATGGTAGTCCCAGTAAAGGTTTCCAGGTATGTCCTTTCTGCAGATATGCATCTTAAGTATCTGTATGTTTAAAGATTTTTATATTTGTGAAGTATAATTTCAACGAGTGAACCACTCTTTTTCCCAATTCCATGCCAATTTAGCTGTTAGAAAAATGGCAAATAGTCTGAAGTTGGTGTTATACTAAAATATTTTATATTTCTGTTTGTTTATCCACAGTTTGGGGATTTGGGTTCCTGGCTGTGACTATCATCAATTTGGCATCGCTTTTGGGACTGATTTTGACTCCCCTCTTAAATAAGTCATATTTCCCCAAGATTTTAACCTACTTTGTGGGCTTGGCCATTGGTACTCTCTTTTCTAATGCAATTTTCCAGCTCATTCCAGAGGTAAGTGAGGGGAATCATTATTTGTTTTGCATACTAGTTTCTAAAGTATATTAATGTTAGAAGCACACTGCAGCGAGGTTCTGTGTGTGGGTTGCAATCTCCAAGAAGTTGTGGATGAGCTTCAGTGCCATTAGGTGCTATCTTTTTCTGGCTGAGTGAGCAGCCATAAAGATCTATGTGTAGTTGTGCCATGGGAAAGACCAAGGGCTATTCTGCTTCTAGACAGAAAGAGAAGTGCATTGAATAAAATTCTAGAGAAGTTTAATGGGCTACAGGTTAGGCCCTCCTTGTCTTGCACTTCTACATTCCATATGTAAAGTTCTACTGAATTAAAGCACTGTTAACATTTAATGCAAGTTAAAAAATATAAAAAGATCAGTATCTATTTTTATTGCAGCCTCCTGGAAGCTCACGGTTGGTAGAGAAACAGTCTGTATTTTAGAGGAGTATCTATGTGTGTGGGGCGTTTGTTTGTTTGGGTTTTTTTTGAAAATGTGTTAAGTTTACAGACTAATTTGCATTGTTTTTTTCTTCACTGTTAGGCATTTGGGTTTGACCCCAAAGTAGATAACTATACTGAGAAAGCAATTGCTGTGTTTGGTGGATTTTATATTCTCTTCTTTGTGGAAAGGATTCTTAAAGTGATATTGAAGATCTATAATAAGGTAATGAAGAGTATCACTAACTGAATGAGTCTTGCCCTGAAGTACCTGTTATATTTTATGAGATACCTGATAGTTTAAGAAAATGTGGGGATTCTTCCATTTTATCTGAGGAATTCAGCCTTACTTATCTGTTTAAAATCTGTATGAATAGGGGAAGCAATGTTACTTTTTTGAGTGAGTTACAAGCAGAGCTGGGAATAGAATCCAGATGTGAGTGTGGTCTGCTCTCATTGGTGTATGCTCTAGTTGCTCTCAATGGCTAAGTTGTTGCTGTGCTAGCTAAATTTATCAGAAAATGTGGAAATATGTAAGAGCTGGAGAGAATGAAGTCTGCTCCTGGAGCTGCCCTTTGGTTAGGAGAAATCAATGTGACTTATCTACCTTCTTAGTCATCTGTAAAGTGTGACTGTGCTGACAGTGCTTGACTCTCACCTTCGGTATCTTCAGCTCTGTGTTTCCCCATGCTCTGGTACACAGACCTGCTTTAGTGACACTGCAATTATCCATATTGCACAGACGTCTGCTTTCTGCCCATACGTCAGAGTACTCATGTTCTGTGTACTCACATGAGTGAAGCTGAATTTGTCTCAGAGATAGTCTCTCAAACTTTCTGGTCCTCTCTTCTCATGTCTTGCCAAGGATACTGTCTAGTCTTCCTACTCTTACCTTACTTAAGGTCCCCTCTCCCAGACTATTACTCATATTGAAGACTATGAAGGTCTTCAATAGACCTATGAAGGTCTATGAAGGGACCTATGAAGGTCCCTTGTTTGTAATAACTGGAGGAAGAAAAATAGAAGAAATGATTTTGTTGCCCTTTGTTTTTGTGAACAGTTGACAAAGGCTAATAAGCTCTGTTTGACAAGCAGCCATGAATAACTGGCAAATGTTGATCACATATGATCAGGTGTTTGGAAGGTCCTATCTAAAGGTATAAAAATGAAAAATCCCCACATGTATTCTGATTAGCTAAAAGAAAGAGGTAAGTTAGGAACTTAGATGCTTTTGGAGTTCATTTAAACATTTAAATGTTTACTGATGCCCATTTAAACATCTACTTGGTATTGAAAGCAAAGCAGCATATGATACCCCACCTTTTTGTTTTGGTGTATATTTTCTTATGTTTGTCATTTTGCTTTTATTTCAATTAGCTACCTACTTATTTATTTGTCACCTAGACTGACCATAATGACTCTGAAAATGGTGAACAGAATCGCTCTCATGATAAGACTATCCCACCCAAACCACTGTCATCCAGCAATGGAGGGACGTGTTATGCAAATTCAGCTGTCATAGAGAGCAATGGAAATCTTGGTTTTGACAGCATCAGCGTGGTCTCAGCACAGGTATGAAAATTGTGTCTAGTTACTTATTTTATCCCTGCCAATTATATAAGCATGTCTGAGGAGAGAGTTAATATGAATTTTTATTACGGTTGCCAAGTTTTTGTAAACTTATAGCTTATAAATTGCTTGAGGCTTATGAAAGAAATGTGGGGTTTTAGAGTGAGCTTGCAAAAGCTGGATGATGCATTGAATTTGTAGCCAACAAAAAGAACTAATTGATAGCAGTATTGGAATGAGTAGGACAGAGATATATATTTAATCAGATATTTTAATTTTAATCAGTTTGATTTAATCAGTTAATTTTGATGATGATGATGTTATTGTATTGCTTGAAGAGTGATAGTATGTTTTAGTGTTGCATGATCCATATTATGTTCCTGACTACATAAAGCAATGTGAGAATGGCTGCTGTGTGTGAGAATCTGGTTCCTCTGAATCGGTGTCTAATGAGGAGAACTAATACAATGACTTTTTTTTGCAGTATATTGTGAGCACTGGTTGTCCTAGTCCAGTATACCACAGAATCACAGAATTATTGAGGCTGGAAAAGACCTCTGAGATTATCAAGTCCAGCCCATGACCTAACACTACCACATCAGCTAGACTATGGCACTAAGTGCCAAATCCAGCCTTTCCTTAAACACCTCCAAGGATGGTGACTCCACAACCTCCCTGGACAGTCCATTCCAATGTCTGATCATGCTCTCCATGAAAAAGTGCTTTCTGTTATCCAGCCTAAACCTCCACTGGCGCAGCTTCAGGCTATGCCCTCTTGTCTTGTCACTAGTTGCCTGGGAGAAGAGCCTGACCCCCACCTGGCTACAACCTCCCCTCAGGTAGTTATAGAGAGAGATAAGGTCCCCCCGTATTTGGATACTGTGGAAATTACAGGGGTAATATGTTGAGACAGAAACTGTTTCTCCTGGTTTAAGTATTATTCTCTTTCAGATTTGTTCTCTATATTCCTCTGTGTTTGTTTTCATACTACATATATGTCGTCCTTCTGTCTGAGAAGAAAATGGAAGGAGGAAGAGAAATTTGGTGTGCTTCATTATTCTTTTCACTGTACAGAGAGGAGCAGTACTGTCCCTTATTTTAAAAGAGGAAAACCACGTAGAAACACTTCTCTGATGGCTATGGCAGATTTTTTCAATTGTAGAGACTTCTGTTTACCACCCAAGTTCTTTAGCCAGTAAGTTGGTTGTGGGAAGCAATGAGGAACAGGGAAAGTAACCAGAGGCAGGCCCTAACAGCCAGGAGAGAATCTGAGAGTTCTGCACTGCCCCTGCGGGCTCACAGGACATCTGATGCACACAATTTGAAGTACCAAAATTGTACTTATCCTCACTGTGGAAACATCATGAAGTGTGGTGGATACCAGGCATTTTAAAAACTAGGAGAAACATGATTAACTGAGATTGCATGGTCACCAAGAGGGAATTAGTATTATGAGTGTCCCTAAGCTGTATTTTGTATATTTATAAAACGAACAAAAGAACACTTCACTCTCTGTGGAGACAGTCATCTCCAGTGGCATGCGTGTTGTTTTTCTTCCCTGTTTACCAGAAGTTTTATCTGGACCTAATCCTTTATTGTGTTTTGGCTAGCCATCTCTCTCTGTATGACATAAACATAAAAAACCCCATACCATATATTATAATAATAAAATGTAACTATATAGCATTTATTTCTAGCAACACGTTTAGATGCCGTACTCATGACCGTAGAGTATTGTAGGTCACCCCAAGATCCTTAGTGGAATACCGGTACATCTCCTTTTATATGCAGTCTTGACTTGAAGAACTTAAAATTTCACAAAGGATCTTCTCCTCTACTTACTGTTCTTATGAAAATTCACACTTTCCATTCTTTCTTCCTCTCCATTTCTCCAAAGTCAGGAAGATAATATGTTATGTTAAAACTTCCTGAAAGCAACAGGGTAAAATTCACTCTGGAGCAAAGACTGGCTGTAAGGAAATCTCAGTGGCAGATAGCCCGATTCTGATATTGGGAGTAGCAACAAATAAGACGTCATGACTCTTTTCCTCCTCCAGGCAGGTTCAAATGGGTCAGGCAGCCTTCACAATTACTGGGGGACAGGGGAAGGCCGATGTGGCTGAGGGGTTTTAGGGCAGGTAGGGTACGCATGTGTCATGCAGGATAGGTATGCATTCAACTTTACAGGCATTTGGTGTTTATAAGAGAACTACTTGGCCTAAGCCAACACATCCCTAATAGACTTTTTATGTGTCCTTGTAATTTAAAGCTTATTAGAGAGGATATACATGGCATAGCCAGAAATCATGATGTCAGCTTTAAGGAAGGAGTCTGAAGTCCAGTTGTGCCCAAGTGTGGTAGCTGTTTTCAGCCATGAGGATCCAGCCGTATTCTCTCCTTTAGCCGGAACAGACTGACTGCTGGAGGAAATCTAAATGTCTAATTAGTCACATACTTTCAGATTTAACTTGCAACAGTAATTGCAACCTTGGAAACTTCTTTTGTGCTGACCCAACACTGGTATCTAATATGCATTAAAATGATAATGTCTGACAACAGTAACTTTGAAGAAAAGTTGTTTCAGAGACAAATTGCTGAAATGTCTGTATCCTTGAGCGCACAACATTAGAGTTATATAATCAGACTTTATTTATGCCCTGGAGGCACTATCAGGATTCCTTCTTGGTCCTGTGGGCACTTCTAAAGGACACAAAAGAGCATGTCTAGCTCGTGTCTGAGGTAGTCAGAGATGTATTAGAAATAGCAGTAGTAATCTGATGAGATATCATAAGATAAAATAAGACAGTCTCTGTATAATTCCTTAAGTTTGGAAAAAAAAGAAGAGACCATTGATTTTAAAGAAAAAAATTTGTTCCGAAGAGCAAAAGTACTATGGTTGGTTTTGGTTTATTCTAAACTGTGGATATACAAGAAATACAGAGCTGCACTAATAATTAATGAAAGTCAGACCTGCTGGTCCAGCTGGGTATTACAGAGCTCCTTAGCTGGCATCTCTACTGTGACATCTGCTAAACTACCATGACAAAGTGGAAACAGTCCAGCGGAGACAGACATTGTTCATTTTTGCCTTGTAATCCTATCTATTTGTAAGGTAAATTTATCAGTAGTCTGCCTTATCTTAAACATTAAGAATATGTATTAGTCATTCATCTGCATCTATTTGACATACAATCTAGTAAAGTTCAGAATGTAAACCCAGACAAGCAATGTCATTGTACTTTATATGATTTATGAAAGAAGTCAAGACCTTACTAAAATAGATTACAGGCAAGAATTATTATACTTCAAAGCTACACAGTAAATGGCAGATAGCTGTATGTATATTACAGGAGCCTCTTAAAAATTGATTCCTAGTTTTTAAACTACGGTTGTTTCTGCGTTTTGAAAGGTTGGATCAAGAAAATAATTTTTAGAATCAAATCAACACTGTTCTCCTAAATTAATTGCAATTAATTAAAAAAAAAAGGTCTTTAGGAAAAAACAACCCAAACCTCAGCAAATTTCTAGTCGGTTCCATTCTTGGTGAGTTTGACAGCTAATTCTTTATAGCATCTTCTTACTTGATGTTATTTTTCATGCACGCATTTGTAAATTGTTTCCACAGAAAAACCCCAAACACTTGAGAACAGATTTTTATGTTTGTCATTCATATGCAATGCTTTGGACTGTCATTGAAATTCTCAACTGTGCAGCTGGTACCAGAAAATGGGCCCTTTACTTAGTCCAATGACATGTCCTTAGTGACATTTTTTCACATTTGTATTATTTGCTCACTGTTTTCATTGCCACCTCTCATTCTTAGTATAATAGAAGTTGCTAATATACCTTTTCAAAATACAGTCTCCTAAGATTAATGCTGTTGCTTTATCAGAAAATACCTGCTGTTGTTTGTTTTTTTTTGTGTGTGTGTGGTTTCCAAAAGAATAAAGTTCTTTATTAGTAAAAAAAAAAGCATGAATTATTCAAAATTAAAATTGTGCATTGTCTCAAACTCCCTTTCTTCAGTGAAGCTAGAAACATACCCAAGAAAGATGTGCTTTTGGCACAAATCAAGTCAATCTACAAAACAATGTCTCCATCACTTCTAGGACAACTTGAAGGATGATCAGCAGG